CAGGTGAAAGAAAACCTCGATCATGTCAACACTGAGTTCTTCCTGCATTCTTATCATACACACGAGGATATAGAATATATATACTCGTATGATTTTTCTCCTAACTTAAAGTACGTATCAATAAGTTCTTGTGCTGTGGTATGACTTGCGCTGAGGTGTGACAGGGAATCGACTAGATTGGGCCAATAGGCCTGCAGTAGTACTCCTTATTTCTCAATACACAGCTTTATAATCACATACGTGTGTTATTCACTTGCTTGTCGATGTTGATCACAAAGTTTGACATATCCGCCGTTGACTCTCACTGTATATTCACTAAAGGGTGTAAATCTCTTAGTGAATATTCACTGACAGATGTATACCTCTCAGGGTATGTACCCTGAGAAATGCGTGAATCTCTCATTGTAGTGTGCAGATTAATTGGGAAAGGAGTAAATTTTGTGATTATCCTATAATATGTCTTAGTCTCCGGCTTAATTAATGTAGTTTGGGTTCTTTTCTTTTCCGAAGAGTTTGCTACCGACTTCTGGGAACCATTCAGCTGTGGTGCTACCCTGCGACTCTCGTCAGTGCTACAACGAATGTTGTTCTGTAAGGATATTCCTGCAAGCGTGCTCTTTGAGTGAATGTGGTTTCGCCAAATTCTCCCCTTCATGTCATGATTACTGCTGAAATTCATGATGAATGTTACACCTAGGAAGTGTAGAAGTATTTTAGCTTTTAGAAATTATGCTGATTTGAGCATCAGACAGATCACCGAAAATTTGAGCCTAGCAAAGTCAACTGTTGGTCGGATTATGAAGAGAGCTGACGACACTGGTGATTGTGGAGCGCAGCGTCGAAGATGTGGAGGAAAACACAAGACAACACCTCATGATGACAAGATTATCATAAGAAATAGTGTGAAGGATCCCAAGAAAACCAACAAAGATCTGCAGAGAGATTTGGCTTCAGCTGGCGTAAATGTTGATTCTTCAACTGCTCAGCCAAGGCTCCTTGAAGCTGGCAGAACTGCCAGACTTCTACTATGAAGAAAACACGGCTGCGGTGGGCAATCGATCATAAGGGATGGACGACAAATGAATGGAAGAAAATTGTATTCTCAGATGAGGTACATTTTGAAATACATGGATACAGATCTGTAGTAGAAGAGGGGGCAAAGGCGAACTTCTTAGGAACGGACACATTCAACAAGCGCCAAAACACCCTCTTAAAATGTTTTGGGGTACTTTTACTGTTAAAGGCTTGATATTGTTGAATAGTGGCAAATACAAGGCAATCCTGGCAACTCATTTGCTTCCCATTGTGGATAGAGACTTTCCTGATGGAGAAGGCATTATCCAGCAGGATCTTGTTCCATACCACACTCCCAGAAGTGTTGATATTTTTCGGAGTGGGCTAAGCGTACTAAATTCGCCAGGAAACTCTCCTGACCTCAACCCAGTCGAGAATCTATGGACAATAACCAAACGCAGGATCGCGAAACAGGACTGTTCAACTGTAAAGAAAATAACTGCTGCTGTTATTAGGACCTGGTACTACGATGAAGAACTTCCCAAAATGTATTCAATGTGTTGCAATGCTTATAAAAGCAAAGGGTAGTCATGTCTCTTATTATATCAATTCTCTGTCATATCATTACCGTGTATTTTTCAAATAAACATTAATTTTCCAGATGTCTTATTTCATCACTGTCCCAATTAAAATGCACACTGAGAGGTGTATGTATCTCCGTACATACACAGGTGTGCATCATATTGTATATACACCTAGAGTACATTTGCTCCTTATCATTTCACTCCCCTTCCCGTCCATTTCTTCTCATTTCCTCTCCTTCCATTTCCTTACATTTCATTTCCTCCCATTTCCCAGCAAAGAAGATTTATGAACTGTTACAATTAATAGGAAATCAACACGAAAGGTAAAAATCGAGTGGGAATTGATGGTAAAATGAGTCGTAAGGGAGCCTTTCAATCACGACGTAAGAAATTCAGTCTTAAATTGCAAATGGTGAAGCTGTCAGCGAGAGGGAGATGAAGGGGTAGAGGTGGATGGAGGGAAGGGAAGGAGAGATAGTAAAAGGAAAGGATAGATAGCAAAAGGAGAGAATAGATAGTGGAAAGGAGAGAGCTAATAGAGAAAGAGGTAGGAAAGTCTAATACGAATGTTTTTTTTTTTTTGGAATAGGGAGTGAGAAGACAATGTTAACTTTTCGTATGATAGTATTATCATTATTACTTTTAATATTTTTGTTATTATTATTATTATTATTATTATTATTATTATTATTATTATTATTATTATTATTATTATTATTATTTTAATATTATAATTATTATTAATGTAAAGCGCTAAACCTGTGTGATTTATTCTAATACAAATTCTCCAGGAATTCGTTTCAATAAAGGCAGCATGGATTTGCTGCCCACCACATGCCACCTGAAGCTTCTTTTAGAGAGATAAGATATCATATAACCTAGGAACATTTTATTGAATACTGGGTCAATATAACCAATGTTTCCTCTGTTTTTATTGCCTTCCATTTACGTGCATAGTGTTATGTACAGAGGTATGATGCAGTGTACGTAAGTGTACTACTAGTAGCAACTAATTATGTATATAGCATTAACGTAATGTTTGTACAGTCTTTACAGACGCCTATATGCACGCAAGTAGTCGAATGAGTGAACAGCGGCAACAGATTACATAAACAGAATGTAAGTACTTCACTGTGTCGTGCATCGGCGCAGGTGCGAACATTGGCATGGACATGTTGAAGAATTAAACACATGCGGAACATGTGTCCATTCATGTTTTAACCATGTTTTGAGGTTATTTACGTTGTAGTTAATTTGTATAGGTGGCCTGGAACAGTGTGACGTATAAGGTGCATAGCTTCTTCCTCCGAGGAAGAAGCTATGCACCTATGAGTTACTTGTACCTTCTCCCATGGCAGACATTGGTCCGAGACACTCCCTCGACAGGGAGCCAAGACCGGGCCACCTCTTGGAAAAGGCCCGGGCCGGGCGATAATACCGGCCAATCTTCAACAACAACAACACAACAAGTGTGATGTATGTAGAGGAGCAGGTCATCTCCGCTCAGAGGGTAACAGGTGGTGGATGTGTTTGGCTTTAGAATAGTTTTTCGTCCTTCGGTGTTGTTGTTCGTGTTAAAATGAAGCGAAGGATGGATTAGGAAAGATAGTAACCTCTGACTCTTCTGCACATACTCTGCCATGTGGGGGAGGCTCCAAGCTGGGGCTGTGTACTCCATGATGGGTCTTATTTAAGTAGTGTGTAATTTTTTTAGGTTACTAAATACTGTTGTGGGTTCTGTCAGGCTCGTGTAAGTTGTAGATGTTAACATGTTTGTGTGCTAAGCTAGTGATATATTTCTCATGACTTCCACGTCCTTTTCTTTTCTTTATAAAAGCCGTTTCTATCCTCTTCCCTGAGCTTCATTGTTGCTCTTTCTAATCCTCCGATCCTCATTAACTTGAATTTATTAGGGTTGAACTCAAGAAGTCAATTATCTGACTAATATTCTAGCATGTCCTGGTCTGCTTGAAGTGTGTTTGCGTCCTCCTGGTGTTACCTTTTGCATATGTGTAATATGAAAATAAACAAAAATACATATGACTGAGGGCCCGCAGATAGACAGTTAACGTATGTGAGAAACAGTACGGGCACTAGTGCGTGACCTTGTGGTACTCGCCTACTCTGACGCTTCCTCACTCACCACTGTCTGTGTGAGTGAGCTCACACTCAGAGCCTGAGTGTGAATTCACCGTTTTATCTCATGCGTGGGTCGATCCCTGTTCACTGTGTGAGCGGGGATCGATACTCAGCTCCTGGCCCCGCCTCCTAGACCTCTTCGATCGGCATCACTGATTGCTGACTTCTTGTGGCTTATCACGTCATATCTTTTCTTGAAGCTGTGCAGTGAGTATGCCTCCACCATTGCCTCATCCCAGTCATTCCACTTTCAACCAGCCTGAAACTAGAGCAACATTCCAAGGTGTGTGTGTGTGTGTGTGTGTGTGTGTGTGTGTGTGTGTGTGTGTGTGTGTGTGTTGTGTGTGTGTGTGTGTGTGTGTGTGTCGCCTGGGTGAGTGACAGCCGCACCATCAGGAAATGCATACAATATGGCGTGAGTGATGGGAAGCGGAAAGTCAGTATCTCACGTCAGCTAGAGAGAAAAATGATCTCTTCTTGAGACGGAGACATGATCTCTGGCACCAACAGCAATAAAGTTCTCTTGCAAAAGCTTAAGGTTCTTCTGCAAGTATGTAAAGTTTTATAGAATGGGCCTAAAGTTTATTCTTAGCGAAATTCGAGCACACTAACTTAGGAATGCATTTCTGTAATTAAACCACATATATCTCTGCCCACAGCATCTCTAACTAAACCACGTGTTTCTTTCCTATAGCATCTCCAAGTAAACCACGTGTCTCTTCTCCACAGCATTTCTAACTAAACCAGGTGTCTCTTCTCCACAGCGTCTCTAACTAAACGACGTATCTCTTTCCCACAGCATCTCTAAGCAAACATAATTTTATCTCTTTCCATAGCATCTCTAATTAAACCACTTGTCTCCTCCCCTAAAACATCAATAACTAAACAGTTAGTCTCCCCACATTACATAACCACCGTGTCCCCCCCACAGCATTACATAACCCGTGGTCTCCTCACTAACAAATCAGTATTACTAACAACGTATCTCTCCCCAGAATCAAACAAGTTTTTCTACCAGATCATTAACCAGTGTAGCCCCTCTACATCATCATTAACCACGTGTGTGTCTCCCCCACAGCATTATTAACCACGTGCCTCTCTCTCCCCCACAGCATCATTAACCATGTGTGTCTCCCCCACAGCACCATTAACCCCGTGTCTCTCCCCCACAGTATCATTAACCACGTGTCTCTCCCCCACAGCACCATTAACCCCGTGTCTCTCCCCCACAGCATCATTAACCACGTGTGTCTCCCTCAACAGCATGCGAGCAGATCTACTTCGGTGTACAAGCTGTGTTTGGTCCCTCAGATCCTCTCCTAGGGTCACACATCCAGTCCATCTGCGACGCCCTTGATATACCTCACCTGGAGGCTCGCCTCGACCTCGAACCTGAGTACAAGGAGTTCTCCATCAATCTCCACCCGAGCCACGAGGTGCTCAACAGGGCCTTCCAAGATGTCATGACCTTCCTGAACTGGACTCAAGTTGCTATCATCTACGAGGAGGACCTAGGTGAGTTCTGTCTTCCAGATCATGACGGGGAAGCTCCCGGGAAGGTAGATGTGATTCCTTGGAATATTAGCCCTTCACAAGTATTAATACACTGTCATTGAACGTCTGTCAGCTGGAAGCAGTTGTTAAGCCATCCATCATTTTCACCCCCTATCCCCTCGTCAACTCATCCTATTAGCATATCCCTATTATCCCATCATTTACCTGTTCTTTGTCTCTTATTTCTGCATGTTGAATTATCAACTAGAGTTTATATATATATATAAATATATATAATATATTTATATATATATATATATATAGTATATATTTTATATATATTATATATATATTATTTATATATATATATATATATATTTTATATATATATTATTTTATATATATATATATATATATTATATATATATTTATATATAATATATAATATATATATATATTAATATAATATATATATATATATATATATTATATATATATATTTATATATTATATATTATATATATGTATGTCGTGCCGAATAGGCAGAACTTGCTATCTTGGCTTAAATAGCAACGCTCATCTTGCCATAAAGGACAATTGAAAATTTGTGTATGCAATAATTTCACCAAAATCATTCTAAACCTAACGAAAAAAAATATATTTCATTGTGTTTGTTTAGTATTAAATTATTGTAAACGTATTTAAAATATATTTAGTTGGGTTAGGCTAAAATAAATTGCTGTTCTTAAAATAAGGTAAGGTAAGTTTTCTAAGATTCTTATGGTGCAAAATTAAAAATTTTTACATTAACATTAATGAAAAAATATATCTTTAAACGTATAAGAGAAAATTTCATAAAGGAATTAATTTTAAATGAGTTCTTGCTAATTGACCAGTTTTACATATTCGGCACGACATATATATATATATATATATATATATATATATATATATATATATTATATATATATTTTATATATATATATATATATATATATATATATATATAAATTTAACAAGTCGGCCGTCTCCCACCGAGGCAGGGTGACCCAAAAAGAAAATGCTTTCATCATTCAATATTTTCACCTCACACATAATCACTGTTTTTGCAGAGGTGCTCAGAACACAACAGTTTAGAAGCATATACGTATGAAGAGACACAACATATCCCTCCAAACTGCAATTATCCCGAACCCCTCCTTTAAAGTGCAGGCATTGTACTTCCCATTTCCAGGTCTCAAGTCCGGCTATATAAAAATAAACGGTTTCACTGAATCCCTTCACTAAATATTACCCTGCTCACACTCCAACAGATCGTCAGGTTCCAAATACCATTCGTCTCCATTTACTCTTATCGAACACGCTCATGCACGCCTGTTGGAAGTCCAAGCCCCTCGCCCACTAAACCTCCCTTACCCCTTCCTTCTAACCTTTTCGAGGACGGCACCTACCCCGCCTTCCTTCCCCTACAGATTTAAATGCTCTCCCTGTCATTCTACTTTGATCCATTCTCTCTAAATGACCAAACCACCTCAACAACCCCTCTTCAGCCCTCTGACTAATACTTTTATTAACGCCACACCTTCTAATTTCCACACTCCGAAATTTCTGCATAATATTTACACCACACATTGCCCTTAGACAGGCCATCTACACTGCATCCAACCGCCTCATCGCTGCTGCATTCACAACCCAAGCTTCAAACCCATATAAGAGTGTTGGTACTACTATACTTTCATACATTCCCTTCTTTGCCTCCAAAGACAACGTTTTTTTGTCTCCACATATACCTCAATGCACCACTCACCTTTTTTCCCTCATCAATTCTATGATTAACCTCATCCTTCATAAATCCATCCGCCGACACGTCAACTCCCAAGCATCTGAAAACATTCACTTCTTCCATACTCCTCCTCCCCAATTTGATATCCAATTTTTCTTTATCTAAATCATTTGATACCCTCATCACCTTACTCTTTTCTATGTTCACTTTCAACTTTCTACCTTTACACACACTCCCAAACTCATCCACCAACCTTTGCAATTTTTCTTTAGAATCTCCCATAAGCACAGTATCATCAGCAAAAAGCAACTGTGTCAATTCCCATTTTGTATTTGATTCCCCATAATTTAATCCCACCCCTCTCCCGAACACCCTAGCATTTACTTCTTTTACAACCCCATCTATATATATATATATATAAACAACCATGGTGACATTACACATCCCTGTCTAAGACCTTCTTTTACCGGGAAGTATTCTCCCTCTCTTCTACACACCCTAACCTGAGCCTCACTATCCTCATAAAAGCTCTTTACAGCATTTAGTAACTTACCACCTATTCCATATACTTGCAACATCTGCCACATTGCTCCCCTATCCACTCTATCATATGCCTTTTCTAAACCCATAAATGCAATAAAAACTTCCCTACCTTTATCTAATACTGTTCACATATTGCTTCAATGTAAAACACTGATCTACAAAACCCCTACCATCTAAAACTCCTTTGGGCTCATCACAATTCCTACATTTGTCTTACCTCTAATTCTTTCAATTATAACCCTCCCGTACACTTTTCTGGTATAACTCAGTAAACTTATTCCTTATAATTTTTACAATCTCTTTTGTCCCCTTCCCTTTATATAAAGGGACTATACATGCTAATATATTAATACTATATATACATACATATATACATAATATATATATTTTATAAATTATATATATATATATATATATTTATATATATATTATATATATAAAATATATATATATATATATATATATATGACAAGGCTGTAGTCAAACTTAATTTTAAAAATGCCTTTAATATGGTAAAGAGAGATGCTGTCTTGCACGTTCGGGATCGCTTCCCCAGTCTTTTTCCCTTCATCTCAGCTGGCTACAGCAAACCCTCAATTCTTTTGTTTGGAGAACATGAAATTCTCTCATCAGGTGTTCAGCAGGGTGACCCACTAGCTCCGCTTCTCTTCTGCTTGGCAGTAAGAGAACTAACTTCCAGTCTACGCAGCGAGCTCAACATCTGGTACCTGCATGATGGCACTTTTGGCAGGTACTGAAGAGTCCCTGGTAGAGGACCTACAACTGGTGAAAACACAGGGAGAAGACTTGGGACTCATCCTCAATCCCTCCAAGTGTGAAATCATCACAGCGAACCAGGAAGTAATCAATGCTGTGCGAAGAATCCTCCCAGAAGTCTCTACTACCACTCCGTCCAACAGTACCCCCCGGGGAGAACCGCTGGGTCACCAGGCCATCGACACAGTTCTCAAGGACAAATTGAATGACCTGATGAGAATGGGAGAGATAAGCAATCTTGATGCCCATGATGCTCTGTATCTCCTCACAAGGTGCCTTACTATTCCCAAGACTCACTCATTCCTCAGGTGTGCCACCTCTTTGACAACCCAACCTCGACGAATATGACGCACACCTGAGGTCAACCCTTAAGAAGGCACTGAACCTTGTCACAGAGGATGAGCAATGGGATCAGGCAACCCTCCCAGTACGGGTGGAGGTATGGGGTGCGCAAAGCAATGCTGTTGCTTTACCTGCTTTTCTGTCTTCATTGTTTGGCTTCCAGTGCTTTAGTCAAGAAGATTGTTCTCGAACGCTTGAGAGACATGGTAGGAGCTCAAGACCCCCGGTTTTTCTGAAGCAGCGATTCGGGGGACCCCTTACATTCCTCCAGTAGACCAGTCTCCCAAAGAACCACAAAAAGTCCCACTGGGAAAACCCTCATGAAAAATCGCCAACACAATGCTCTCCACGCCTCAGGGAAAAGGGCAAAGCCGTCCCAGGAGGCACACACTCCCGGAGATTTCCCGTTTGCTGTTCCCATTCCTCTTGGCACTCACTAGACCCACAGGCCATTCGGTTGGTGTTGCTCTTCGCCTGCCGCCCCCATCCTCACCCCACATAGGGTATTTGCGGCAGGGCGACGCTGTCATTCGGACTTCTGGTCTCGTGTGTCACACAGCAGAAGGGGAAATATGCAGGCATGAGGAGTCAATGCTCAAAAGGAGCCTCGCCACAGCCCGTTGCCCAGCTCACGGAACCCCAGTGCAGAGGTCTGACGGTCAAAGCGTCCGATGGGCCACTATCTACCTTGGAAGGATGGAAGCAGATTGCCTGGGACTACCTGTGCCACACATTGGCAGACCCTACTGCCATACTCTGTAGTGGAAGGGGTGGAGCTGCCAAACCAAGAGACCAGAAGAATCCGCAATATGAAGACTTCCCTTCATAAATTCATCCCAATAGGGTCGGAGACCCTTTGGGGCTTTTGGGGAAGTGGCTTAAAGTTCCTAATAGAGCTGGGTGAAAAGCTCATCATGGAAACCAAGAACCACGGGGGGACAAACTTCCCTTTCAGGACTCAGTGTTGCATCCAGAGGGGGGAAAGCCTGCAGCATTCTGGGCCGGGCCCACGCCGGGGAGCTGACCAAGTATTCGAGATGTAGCTCTGAGTTACCTATTTTTTTGACTTTCTTCGTTTTTTGTGAGTTTTTGTCAATGATTTTGCTTTAAAAAAAAATACAAAAAATAAAAAGGGGGTGGTGGGGAGAAAATTCTAAAAAGTTCAGGGGAACCTTGGGTTTTTCTTGAACCCATTTTATCTTTTCTTGAGGAGGGGGTTCCCAAAAACAGTTCAAAGGGGTGGTACCTCCCTATATTTTATATTTTTTATATATATTTTATATATATATTTATATATTATTTATATATATAATATTTTTTATATAATTTTTTTTAAATCCCGTACCGAAGGAAAAACTTCTTTTGGGCTTAAAAAGCAATGCTCTTTTTCCCAAATAAGGAAACGAAAATTTGTGTATGCAATAATTTGCAAAAAATCATTCTGACCCTAACAAGAAAATATATTTTTTTTGGCAATAAACACAAGCAGTATAATGTATCCTTTTTTGATCGTTTCGCCCACACAGTGGGCTTTTTTAAGTCACAAAAGAACTACATAATCCCTTTTTAAAGACTGCAAAAGTTAAGTGGGCGAAACATCAAAGGGACCCAAAAAACTATTTCAGAACACCAAACGCAAGCAGGCTGACGAAAGGAATGCCTGGTACAACCCCGTAATTCACACAACCATTTAAAATACAGAAACTAAATTACGGCCAAAAACAACCTCAATACCGAAGAATCCCGGGAATCATCACTTATTTCTATATCCGACAACTTCAACCAGAATAGTGGCTTCTACAACATAGCTGAACCACTTGCCAAGAAACTTCTTCATCGCTATCCCACATAAGAACACTGTAGAAGGTCTGCTCACAAACTTGTCCAGTCTCCTTTCCAAGCTACCCAAGTTTTTAGACTCTACAACCCAACTCGGTACATCATCAGATGCAGCATTCTTCACCTGACCTCAGCTGGACTATAAATACTCGCGTTCCTTCCACTCCAGGTAGTTCTGTTTGTGACTTGAAAAAGCCCACTGTGTGGGCGAAACGTAGTCAATAAAGGATCACATTATACTGCATTTGTGTTTATATTGCCATTGTGTCGGTATTTTATACCATTTATTTCCATATATTTTATTGTGTTTGTTGACTGTTAAATTACTGTAAACTTATCTAAAATATATTTAGTTGGATAAGGCTAAATTAAATTGCGCTTGTTATAATAAGGTTAGGTAATTTTTAAGGTTCTTTTGGTACAAAATTATTATTTTTTAAATTAACATAAGTTAAAAAAATATATCTTTAAACGTTCAAGAAATTTTTTTTAGAAAGAACGTAATTTTAAATGAGTTATTGCTAATTGAATAGTGTTACCTATTAGGCAAGACATATATATATATATATATATATATATATATATATATATATATATATATATATATATATATATATATATATATATTATATATATATAATATATATATACACATTCTCGGTGCAGGACTCATCAAGCTGCAGGAGCTAGTGAGGACACCGTCCAAGGATCACATGGAGTTCCTAATCAGACAAGGGTCACCTTATAACTACAGGGAACTCCTGAAGGAGATCAAGCAGAAGGAGATCTTCAACATCATCGTCGACACCAAGCCGGAGAACATGAATCACTTTCTCCGAGGGGTGAGTAAGGAACGTGAGTGACGGTGAAAAGCAGTTTTTTTTCGGCGAGGTGAGTGAGAATATGAGAGAGAAGAGAATATGAGTTAATCCCTCTGTGTGAGAGCCAGAGAACATGACTCATTTTCTCAGATGGATGAGTTGGGTAAGTTGTGTAAGAATGCTGTCCTAAATTATTTTTTTTCAGTTGTATTTTCTTTATTATTATTATTATTATTATTATTATTATTATATATTATTATTATTATTATTATTATCATCATCATCATCATCTGGATATTAAATACTTATGTGAAGAGCATGCCATCATTTCCCCCAAATTTGACTTACAAATTTTTATATCGTTAAACCCACGTATACATGCATTACATATACATATAAATGGATTACATCTACGTATACATGAATCTCATCTACATGTGCATGAATTAAACGTATGTATATATGAATTAAGCCTATTCATTTACGAATTACACGTATATTTATATACGAAACTATAACGATCGTGTCTCAATATTCATTAAATATTTTCAACAGACACAAACAGTAAGTTAACTGTTATTTCAGGTGACTCAAACAGGTTGTCTGTTTTTATTTCAACAGACGTAAAAGTTAAGTTTGGTTTTCTTGTAACAGAAACCAGCAGAAAGTTTATTAATATTTCAACAGACACTAACAGGGAGTCTACTTTCACTAACAGGCATAAACGGGGTTTTGTTATTTTAAGAGATGCAAACAGTGAGGACTTTATTTCAACAGACACAAACAGAATCTTCATTTATTTCAACAGACACAAACAGGAGTCCTCTTTTATTCAACATACACAAACAGAGAGTCCTCGTTTATTACAACAGACACAAACAGAGAGAATCTACTTTAATTTCAAGACACAAACAGAAAGTCCTCTTTTTATATCAACAGACACAGAGTCCTCTTATTCCAACAGACACAAACAGAGAGTTCTCTTTTATTCCAACAGGCACAAACAGGGAGGCGACTTATATTTCACACCTAACGCGATTTCAAACCTGTGTCGAAAAAATAATGAATATTTCAGACACAGACTGTTGAAATCTAATGACAGTTCTCTGTAATCAGGAAAAAGGTGTCAACTAGACATGAGTTTACTTGGACAGAGATCCAGCTAGACAGATATTCATCTGGACAGATTGAGAGATGGACAGATGTGTGGTTGTAAAGATTATAGGACAGATAGAAGGCTTGATGGGTGTTCAGCTGGATAGACAGAGAGCTTGATAGATAGAAAGCTGGAGAGAGAGAGAGAGAGAGAGAGAGAGAGAGAGAGAGAGAGAGAGAGAGAGAGAGAGAGAGAGAGAGAGAGAGAGAGAGAGAGAGAGAGATCTTCACTTAGAGTACGAATACCTGGACAAATATGACTGGAGACAGAATTGGCTAGAAGGAAAGTTAGTGAGCTGGAGATATAAAAGGAGCTGGAGAGAGAATTGGAGACAAAATTGGAGAAATAGAAAGCGGTTCAGCTAGACAGCTATATAGAAAGCTCTTCTGACAGACAACTGGAGAGTGAGAGCTCAATACAGACCTTCAGTCTATGCGATATGGAGAAATATTATATAACCATTTAATTTAACGCAGATAGCTCTGCCAACGCTAATATTTCCGAGAGTGTAATTATGTGCATTCATTAGTCACCCCAGTGTAAAGTGGTGACATTATTATTCCAGGATAATTAAGGAATAATTGGTATGAAATTTAGTGCGTAATTTCATGTAAAGGAGCTGACACTTCAAAAAATTAATTTAATTTAAGGACCGGCGAGAGAGAGAGAGAGCGAGAGAGAGAGAGAGAGAGAGAGAGAGAGAGAGAGAGAGAGAGAGAGAGAGAGAGAGAGAGAGAGAGAGAGAGAGAGAGAGAGAGAGAGAGAGAGAGAGAGAGATTATATAATTGGTCTCTTGTTACTGCATGTTTCGCCTACTCAGCAGTCTTCTTCAGACTATGCCTTCCACATCCCCCCCCCGGGCGCTGTATAATCCTCCGGGTTTAGCGCTTCCCCTTGATTATAAAATAATAAATAATAATAATAATTCTTCAGACTAACAGTAGCAGTGGAAGGGTAAGTATGAGGCTGTTAGTCCCTCAGCCTTGAAGAAGAGTTAATGTTAAGGTGGTCATTCTCTCACATGTGTCTTACACTTACACTGTTGCACATGTGTCTTACACATACACTCTTGCATATGTATTTTACACATACACTCTTGCACATGTCTTACACACTGCTGCACATGTGTCTTATACATACACTGCTGCACATATGTCTTACACACACACTGCTGCACATGTGTGTTATACATACACTGCTGCACATGTGTCTTACACACACACTGCTGCACATGTGTGTTATACATACACTGCTGCACATGTGTCTTACACACACACTGCTGCACCTGTGTCTTATACATTGCTGCACATGTGTCTTATACATACACTGCAGCACATGTGTCTACAGTGCTGCACATGTGTCTTATACATACACTGCAGTACCTGTGTCTTATACACTGCTGCACATGTGTCTTATACATACACTGCAGTACCTGTGTCTTATACATTGCTGCACATTTGTCTTATACATACACTGCAGTACCTGTGTCTTATACATTACTGCACATGTGTCTTATACATACACTGCAGCACATGTGTCTTATACATACACTGCAGCACATGTGTCTTATACATACACTGCAGCACATGTGTCTTATACATATACTGTTGCACATGTGTCTTATACATTGCTGCACATATGTCTTATACATACACTGCAGCACATGTGTCTTATACATACACTGCAGCACATGTGTCTTATACATACACTGCAGCACATGTGTCTTATACATACACTGCAGCACATGTGTCTTATACATATACTGTTGCACATGTGTCTTATACATTGCTGCACATATGTCTTATACATCACTGCAGCTCATGTGTTTATAATACACTGCAGCACATGTGTCTTATACATACACTGCAGCACATGTGTCTTATACATACACTGCAGCACATGTGTCTTATACATATACTGTTGCACATGTGTCTTATACATATACTGTTGCACATGTGTCTTATACATATACAGTTGCACATGTGTCTTATACATATACTGTTGCACCTGTGCCTTATACATATACTGTTGCACATGTGTCTTATACATATACTGTTGCACATGTGTCTTATACATATACTGTTGCACATGTGTCTTATACATATACTGTGCACCTGTGCCTTATACATATACTGTGCACATGTGTCTTACATATACTGTTGCACATGTGTCTTATACATATACTGTTGCACATGTGTCTTATACATATATTGTTGCACATGTGTCTTATACATACACTGCAGCACATGTGTCTTATACATATACTGTTGCACATGTGTCTTATACATACACTGCAGCACATGTGTCTTATACATATACTGTTGCACATGTGTCTTATACATACACTGCAGCACATGTGTCTTATACATACACTGCAGCACATGTGTCTTATACATACACTGCAGCACATGTGTCTTATACATATACTGTTGCACATGTGCCTTATACATACACTGCAGCACATGTGTCTTATACATATACTGTTGCACATGTGTCTTATACATATACTGTTGCACATGTGTCTTATACATATACTGTTGCACCTGTGTCTTATACATATACTGCAGCACATGTGTCTTATACATACACTGCAGCTCATGTGTCTTATACATATACTGTTGCACATGTGTCTTATACATATACTGTTGCACATGTGTCTTATACATACACTTGCAGCACATGTGTCTTATACATATACTGTTGCACATGTGTCTATACATATACTGTTGCACATGTGTCTTATACATACACTGCAGCACATGTGTCTTATACATATACTGTTGCACATGTGTCTTATACATATACTGTTGCACATGTGTCTTATACATATACTGTTGCACCTGTGTCTTATACATATACTGCAGCACATGTGTCTTATACATACACTGCAGCACATGTGTCTTATACATATACTGTTGCACATGTGTCTTATACATATACTGTTGCACATGTGTCTTATACATATACTGCAGCACATGTGTCTTATACATACACTGCAGCACATGTGTCTTATACATATACTGTTGCACATGTGTCTTATACATATACTGTTGCACATGTGTCTTATACATATACTGCAGCACATGTGTCTTACTCACTCCCGTAACCACGAAGAAACACTTAAGTCTTAACTATAATAATCAGAAGAGGTAGAGAGACAGAGAACATATTTTCCTCTCTTATAACGAAAACATCACAGTCTGATTTCTTTGGATTATTGCTGTGAGAAAAATTAACCTCGTTAACATTCACGAGATGTGGTTTAAATATAATCAACAACGCTGACTGGAATGGAATTATTTTTTTTTTCTGTCAAAAGGAACATAAGTATTAATTCGACCAAAGTAATTAATAAAACTTAAAAGTTGAACTTCTGAGGTCAACTTTTTCGAAGTTATGTGTTGAAGCCTCTTTTTGTAAACTCGTGTCCTTTTGCCTTCTTTTATTCCTCGTCATCACCATTTCTCTCTTTTCGTATTCTTAATATTTGCTTTTTTTTCAGTTATAAGGTTTCCCTGGTCCATGCCAGTAGGCCTCCTGCCCACTCACACCGATTCATGTACTTGCCCAACCCATTTTTAAATCAAACCAAAGTTCTGGCTTCAGTGACGATACTCGAGATTTTATTCCATTCGTCCATGTCTCTATTACGAAATCAGTAATGCCTCTACATTCTAATTCAACAGTTATGTGTACATACATATACATACATACATACATAGTATCACGACGTTGAACGCTTCTTGGAATACCCACATATGAGGGTATTCCACCAGCCTCTAACTAGTATCATCGTGGCAACCATAAGAATCAACAGTGTCACCAATGGGACTGCCAATTCCCAACAGCTGCTGAAAACGAATTG